AAATAATTTTTTTTTGTAAATTAATGTTTATCTTACCGGGGATCTTGAAAAAATAAAATAAAAAATTCTCGTACCTGGGATTTTTTTGCTGTTGTTTTCAACGGGATTCCGTTTTTTTTCCAATGTGAAATAGTTTCTAATCCCCGATTATTTGAAAGTTTTTCTTTTCTTTGGATTGTCGTGTCCAAAATTTTTTTAATAAATCCATCACTCGTTCCGGATTCGGCACTGCAATGCACGATTTAAATTTTTTTTTATTAATAAATGACATTTAAAAGTTAATTATTAAATTTTTTTTTTTTTTTTTCTAAAAAGCTTTTTAAAACTTTTCATTTTTTTTCTTTTCATTTCCCCTCCCCTCCTCCCTCTCTTTTTCTTTTTATTCATATTTTTTTTTTTTGCTCTGGTTAATTTATTTATTTATTTATTTACCGCAAAAGTTAAGCATGCCGTTAATGTTTTGTTATGAAAGGACAAACAACAAAGTCTTACCATTGTTTGTTATGAAATTTCCTCAGACAAAAGCTTCTTCTTCTTTTCTTTTTTCTTTTACACACTTTCCTTGTTATTCCTATAAAAAAAAAAAAAAAAAAAAAAAAAAAAATCAAAGTCTGTGACTTCGCAGCATCAGCAACATCAACAACAACAACAACAACAACAGAAAAAAGAAAATCTATTTATTTTCTTTTTTCCTCGTTGTTGTTGTTGTAACAAATAACGATGGTAAACATACCGTGTAACATCATCTTTAATAAAAATAGATATTTTTTTTCTCCCCCCTCCCCTTCCCCCTCCCCCTCCTCTTTATCTGGATTATACCCAAAATAACATTTTCGATTATTTCCCGTTTACTTAACAATCGATTCCAATTCGATTCCGATTCGATTCGACTTTTTTTTTATTCAAATAATAATAATAATTTTTATGGTAAAAATTCAATGTCACGTCATCGTTTTCCATAATAATAATAATAATATTTTTACGTAACCGTTAATTTAAAAAAAAATTATTATTATTATTATTATTAATAATTAAAAATTTTAAATTATTTAAATTCGAATTAAACAAAAAAAGATTTCTAAAAATTTTTATATACGTTTATTTTAAAACTCGTTTACCGTCGATGATGATAATAATAATAATAATAATAATAATAATTAGATAAAACGTAAAGACTCGGAAAGAATCGGAAAAGTTTTTCCCTTCGTCACGTATTTAATATTAACACGATAATAATAACATTATCGTATTTTTATTAATAATCGAGTTCGAAATGATAATAATAATAATAGGAACGAACGAACGAATGATAATAATAATAATAATAATAAAAAAGGAAAGAAAGAAAAAATAAAACCTTTTGTGATTTGGAGTGGCAGCAGCAGCAGTAGTAGTGGTGGTAGTAGTAGCCTTAGTTGTATGACTTGCATTAGTGTGTGTAATCCTTTGAAGGATCATCCAATCGGAGAATGAAATGAGAACGTTTAAGTCTCATATCAAAACTTAATGTGTTGCCATAGAGATTTTTATTCCCTTTAGTATACCGAGAAAATAAAGAAAAAAAAAAAAAACATAATGATGATAATAATGATAATGACGATGTAAAACGCATAGCGTGTAAAGACTTGAATTTTAATCACTTTGTTTTAAATCACTTGGTTTATTTTAAATTTAAATGTGCAATTTGATTATACACGCGGCGGTGGCTTTTATCAAGTCTTTGATAAAGTAAAGATGAGTCCATGATAATAGATGATGATGATGATGATGATGATGATGATGGTGACACGTCCAAATTTAAACTTGTCGCAACAGCAACAACAAAAAAAAAGGGTTAAAATTCATTATTCGATCCATCCAAAACTGATTTTCAAAACGATTTGAATTGAATTTTTTTTCTTTTTTCCATTCATTCATTCATTCATTCATTCAATGAATTTTTTAATTTTCAATCTGAAAAAAAAAACAAATAATAATAATAATAAACATCAAAATAATTCAAAAAGAAAGAGTAAAAAAAAAAAAAAAAAAAAAACGTAAAAATAATTTCGTAATTGTTCAATACGTAATTGCGTGATTGATTTGAATAATAATAATAATAATAAATAAATGAAAAGAAAGAAAAAGAGTGTGGCAGGGGGTGGGGGTGGGGGCGAAAAGAATTTTTAAATTATATATAATCAATTTATGTAATAATAATTAAATGAAAGAGAAAATTAAATTGAATTTATTGAAAAAAAAAAAAAAAAATTGATGAAATGGAAAAATAAAATTAGTTTTAATAATATTATTATTTAATAAAGTTTTATTTATTTTTTTTTTTACTTACTTACTTTAATTTCGTTTATCCTTTATTAAATAATTTATTAAAAAATAAATTTTTAATTACAATTTAATTTTACCCCCATTTTTTTTTTAAATGGATGGTAAATTATACGGAATTCACATTTTAATTATCATTTAATTAATTTTTTTTTTCAAGTTAAACGCGACCGACTGAGTGAATGAATGATTGAATGAATGAATGAATGAATGAATGATTATTTTTCTTCCGATACGAATTTTTTTAATTATTTTTATTTTCGAATCGAAAATTTTTTGGATAAATTAAATTAAAATTTAAAAAAAAAAAAAAAAAACTCACCCGGCCGAATTACGCACGTGCAAACAAACGTGTTAAGAGATTTGAATTGTAAATACGTTTTAATTATAAATAATTAAAATAATAATAATAATGAAAACTTCATTCGAAAAAATTAAATTAAATTAAAGGCTCTCGAGTTTTGGAATTCATATACGTCGATTGAATTTATTTATTTATTTTCCGCATCTGAAATTGCATAAAATTATTTATTTATATAATTATTAAATAAAAATAAAATGTTTAAATATAATTTATGAGAGCGCATACCTGATCAAAATTATTCTTTTACAAAATACGTAAAAATACGTATTTTTCGCTTAATTAGGTACACGTTTTGAAGTTAAAAAAAAAAAAAAAAAGAAGACATTTTGAAACATTTTTCTTTTTTTTCAATACCCCAAAATTGTGTGTGTGTGTGTGTGCGTGTGTTTCCTGTACTATCGAAAAAAAAAATTTCATTTGTTTTTATATGAAAAATAAAAACCTTCTGCTAAATTAGCGATTTAGTCATACAAAATTTAAATTGTACTAATTTGATTAATCGAGCTAAAAAAAAATTCAAATTTAATTTAAAATTATTCAACTTACAATAAATTAAATTTAAATGACACACCCTATAAAAACACCCGTAAAAACGTACACGATTCATAACAATACACCCCCTCCCCCCCCCCCAAAAAAAAAAAAAAAAAACTTATATAAGGATTAAACATTTCCGGTTACTTTGACCTCACTTCTCCCGATTTCTTTGTCTTGCTCCAGTGACTTCCTACAACGTTATTAGTATTATTATCATTAAAAAAAAAATTTTACACTTTTTTAATGAAAGGAATTTATATAATTAAAGTTTTGTAAATAATTAATAAAAAAAGAAAGAAAGAAATCTACAACTAAATCGTATATTTTCGATCTAATAAAGAACAATTTTTAATTAAACATATTTTAACGTGCTGTCGTACAGCACGTTTTTCTTTTTTTTTTAAATGTCGGGAAATTTTTTTTTAAATATTTTCAAGAGTGTTTCCTTTTTTTCCCTTCTCTCTCTCTCTCTTTCTTTTTTTTTTTTTATTTTGTGTTTCTTTGTCGTTAATTTTCTTTTCTTTTCGCAATTAAAAAGCAATAAAATAATGTTGGATATAAAAAAAAAAAAAACTTAAAAAACCAACCAACCAATCACAATTCATTGAAATTGACAAAATTATACATAATAATAATAATAATAATTAATTAATACCGATTTATATAATACGACACCGTTTTCTTTTTATTCTACTCCTACTAATATGGATGTTATTATACTAAGCAATTAAAATTCATTAAAACAAACGCGTTTAAGGTGTTTTCCTCATCATCATCATCATCTTCACACCTCGTCACTCATCGAAATCCCTAAAGGAAACCTATTAAAGACTAGAAATTATTATAAAATAATTCATTAAACAATCAATCAATCAATCAATCAATACAAAATAATAATAATAATATCCATTATAAACCCTCATCGTTAAATAAAAAATACTGCTTATAATTTTTTGATATTACACACTACACAAATTAAATACGTTTAAACTTTTGTTGTTGCCATTTTATGCGAAAAGTTAAAAAAAAAAATAAGAAAAATAACAAAGAAAACAAAACAAAACAAAAAGTGAAGAAAAGAAGAGAAAAAAGATTAAAAGATTAAAAGAAAAGAGGTAACAACTCTTGAAAATATATATCGGGCTGTATCATTCCATTAATAATTAACACGAGTTTTTTTCCTTTTGCTGTTGCTGTTGTTCTTGCATAATAATAATAATAATAATCGTTATTATTATTATTTTTAACCGTTTGAAAAATTAAAAAACTTCCATCCGACATCCATAAAAGAAAATTTTTTTTAAAAAAAAATCTTCATTTTTAACGTAATCCGGTAGTTTTATTAATTTTTTATTTCATTTTAAAAACAAACAAAAAAAAAAAAAAAGAGACAAAGCAATTAAATATTCTAAAATTTCATTAAAAGTAAAAATAATACTTATTAATACCTAATTTTTCTATTAATTAATAATAATTACTCATGAAATACAAAAACAAATACTTTGAAGAACAATACAGCCCTTTCCCTATGTCCCCCGCAAAAAAAAAACCATTGTACTATTATTATTATTATTATTCTTCATTTTGTAACTTGACGGAGAGTATCGAAAATACCGATGATAAAAATTTTCCGGGTTGGGTTTTTTACTCCGGGCGAGTGTTTACAAAAAAAAAAAAAAAAAAAAAAAAACCACCGCCACATCCTCTTGTGTGTGTCCTCCCCCCAAACATCTCTTTTTTTTTTTTTTTTTTTTTAAACAAACTAAATGCGGATAATTTAAAAGGCGAATAAGAGCAAGAAGGACATCATCAAACAGAAGAGACCCATAGCCTCGGACAAGGCGAATCCTAAAATGGCGTACGAGAAAAGTTGTTGTTTAAGTGATGGATTTCTCGCGTAACCGATAATGAGCGATCCAAAAACTGATCCGATACCGGCACCTAAAAAAAGAAAAAAAAAAAAAAAAGAAAAAGAAAAAGAAGAAAACATTAGAAAAACACGTGATGGAAAATTCGATTACATCTACACAACCACGTGTAAAAACAAAAAAAAAAGTTTTAAAGGAAAGCACAACAATTCAAAAAAAAATTAAACAATAACAATAACAATAACAATAACAATAATAAATAATTAAATCAAATTTTTATATAAGCAACGACCTAAAAAAAAAAAAAAATTAAAAAATTAAAAAATTTCATCCGATATTAGTTTTAACGTGGAAACAGCAATTTTTTTTATCTCTCATTTTTTTTCAACGCAAATAAGTAATAAAAAAAAAAGATTTGGCATAGGTCATCAATACGAGCTTAGAGTTTAAACTAAATATTAAAAAAATATGTGAAATCAAAAAAGGTCATCAAAGGAAAAAAATATAAAAAATAAAAGTTTAATATTTTTAAATTAGTTGAAAACAAACAAAATCAGAAAAATGAAAATTTTAGTGATTTCGTTTTCTTCGTGTGATTATTTAAAAAAAAAAAAAAAATGTGCTCGAAAAGTTTTTTAAAAAAAAAAAAAAAAAAAAAAAATTAACAAATACAATAGTGGTGGTCATTGTTTTTTGTTTTTGTTTTTATACAAAGTAAAACTACAATGGAAATTCTTTTTCCACGTTTTTTTTTTTTTTACATATGTATATACAAGTGAGTATTTTTTCCATTGGGAACCCCCAATAAGTATTTTCTAAAAAAATCAAAATCTACTCATCAACCATTTCACCATAAAAGTTTTAAGCAAAGTATAAAGCCAAAGTTTTTTACAATAGATTTTACAATGAAATATCAAGAGAGAGAGAAAGAGAAAGAATACAAAATACTCAAAACGAGAAAATAGGCTTACAAACAAAGAAGGATGCACATACAATTCATACGTGAAAATTTATTTTCTCTCTCTCTCTCTCTCACTCTCTCTCACACAGCCTAATAGATTTCATACAACTTTGAGGTTATGAGAAAAATTAATTTGAGTCAATTTTTTAACAATTAATTTTTTATTTAGACCAGCACCCCCACGATAATTTAAAATTTCAACAAGAAAACGAAAATACTTATTATTATTATTATTATTATTATTATTATTATTATTATTATTACTACTACTATTATTATTATTATTATTATTATTAAATGAAATAAAATTCTATACAATTAAATATTCAACTAGTTTTTTTTTTTTAATAAATTAATTTCTTTTCCTTTTTTTTCCCTCTTGTTTTTACTTATTTTTTGGATTATTTAAATAATAATATTTCATGAACAAATGAAAAAATTGACTCGGGGGGGGGGCTGGGGGGAAAATTATTTATTTATTTTAAAAACGTTTGTAAAACACGTGTAAATATATATATATAAATAAAACAATTATTATCAAGTTTTATTCGATCTAAATGCAATTTTATCCAAACAGTTTGAATTCAATTTTCTGTTTTTATTTTATCATTTCCTATTTACCAAGGAGGAGGATTAGGAGGAGGAGGAAAAAAAAAAAAAAAAAAGTTCACGAAAAAGAAATTGAAACATGTCGTCCCTCCCTTTTCAGTATACACACACGACTCGTCCTGGAATGCATCTATCATTTTTTTGTTTGATTGTTTTTTTTTTTTTGGAAAAGCTTTAAATGAATTATAAAGCAAATAAAAGCAAGAAAGAAACCATCAAACAGAAAAGAGCTAAAGCTTCAGTAAGTGCAAATCCTAAAATTGCATAACTGAACAATTGACCCTTTAAAGAAGGATTTCTGGAATATGACAACATAAGAGATCCGAAAACAATCCCTAAACCAGCACCTAAAAAAAAAAAAATTAAAAAGCAACAAATTTTCTCAAAGCTTATAAAGCTTACAACAACTGATTACTTCATCAACGGAATTTTTAAAATTTTTAAATTTAGAAAAATCAAAATTTTGTAAAGAGAGACAGAGAGCAAAAAAAAAAAAAAAAAAGTAGTTATGTAGCAGAAGTAAGTTATTAACAGAGAAAATTTAAAATTTTCTAAAAGTTATACATTCTTAACATGTGCAATGTTTAAAAAAAAACAAAAGTAAAAACCATCACCTGCTACCTATGTACCTATATACCAGTTCCTACATTTTTTTTTTTATCTCCTAATTATTTACATTTGTGATTTTACCGTATCAATTTTAATTTGGATTATAAATAAACTTAAAAAAAAAAATTTTAAAAAGTTTAAAATTTAATTACTTACCTCGAAATCAATTTAAGTTACAAGGAAAAAGGAAGATATGGAAATAAGCACATAGAAAGTTCAACTGGAATACATGCAGGTAACCTCAGAGTTTATATATACTCACTCTAAATAAAAATTAACAATTATTAATTTTTTTTTTTTTTTTTTTTTTTTGTTCAGGAAAGAGAAAAAAATAGAAAAAAAAAGGAAAGCTTCAAAATTACCAAAATTGCATCGAATACAAAAAAAAAAAAAAAAACAAAAAAAAATCTAAAGTTAAGGATGATAATAATAACGATTCGAATTAAGAAACAAACAAAAAAAAAGACTTTAAAGGAAATAAAAGTTTGAAATTGAAGGCTTTCAATAATAATAATAATTTATGTTATACCTGAACCAGCGACTCCGACTGTAGCAGCACCGGCACCAATGTATTTAGCAGCCGAATCAATGTCTCTTGTGATTGTGGATGTTTGAAACCTTCTATTGATGGGTAGCTAAAAATTAATTATTATTTTAATATGTAAATATCAACAATAATTAATATATTCAGCATGATAAGTAGTAATTTTGGAAATTAAAGTGACAAAAAAAAAAAAAAAAAATTTAAGTTAATTAATTAACTTACCATATTAAAGTTAGTCGTTTGTGGTGCTGTGATCAAATTACTAGTAGTCTGTGAAGAATAAATGTTACTACTTTTGAGCACAGCACTTGAAAGAGGTCTTAGGTAAGACCTTGAACCTAAGACCATCTGAAAATTAAGATCACATTACTGCAAAATTTTCCCAAAAAAAAGAAAATGTTTACATAAATATGTAAGCGTTAAAGAGGGAAATGTAGAACACATTCTGCTATGGCTAATGAACATGTACCAAATCAAATTTTCCTCATCACTATTATCGGTGATAAAATACAATAAATTTTTTAAATTATTAGTTTTATACACCATTAGAATTTTTAATTTTGATTTTTTTTTTATCCATATGAATATATTACATGGCATTTACAATTAAAATTACCTACTAATTATTTGTTAGGGATCAAAAGAGAAGGAATCAATATCTTTAGTGTTTTATGATACAAAATTTCCATTATTCATTTCCAAAGGCTTGAATAATAAAAATAATGGCAGAATTTTATTAAATAAAGAAAAGTGACCATTTTTACAGGAGATCCCTATAAAATATGGAGTGATACAGAGTCAATGACCAACATAAAAAGAACATTAAAAAAACTTACCGCATTGCGAGCGCAGGGAGCCAAGAGTGCGGAGTATGCAAACATTTTGTGTTTTGAGTTGATTAAAACGAACCTAAAACATAAAAAATTACTTGGGATTAATTTTTTTTTGGGGTAGAAGGTTCAAGGTGAAAATTGCATTTTTTAAAACCGTAACTGTATTTGCAACGGTAAAATGACCACTTATTGATTATAAAAACAAAATCTGATTAATTGGTGAACAATTTATACGATTAACGATAATTAAATGCATATTAAATAGAAAAATTAATGAAAAGCAAAATGGCCGATTAGAATAAAATGGAGATCAGCCATTAGTGTAATAGCATCTAAAAAGGAAAAAAATTTTACAATCAAACCTGGCTTTAAAAAAACGAAAAAAATATTTTTTTGTTTTAATAACATAATAAATTTAAAAAAAAAAAACTAAACAATACCGGATGGAATTTAATTAAGTAGATTTACAGCGATAGCACTTACTTGAGTCCGGTGAACAAATCGCGAACGAAAAGCAGAAAACCGAAAAATTTGTCGTCTGATAATCTACGTCACGTGATTAAATGCTGCGCGACCCTAACATATTTTTCGAACTAAATAAAATCCCCGCCTTTTTTTAATTTTAAATTTTATTTTAATCAAAAATTAACCTTTTTCTTCAAATTGTATGTTTAAATTAAATCATTTTATATTTAAACATACTTTTAACAAACGAGTACGTTCAAAATACTTTTGTATTAATACATTATAAAAGACATTTCTTAAATTTTAAAAAAATTATATTAGTGGAAAGTTATTTTATGCCGGTAAAATAAATTTCCTCGTATCTTACTTAGTTCGTATTTGCTTTTTTAAAACATATCCTACGATGCATTTAATTGATCAGGCCTTAATAATTATGACAGTCGTCGACAGTATCAAAAATACAATATTAAAAATTTATTTTTATTTTGTTTTTAGCTCCATAAATTCTCTTATTGAAAATCTTGGCAATTTTAAACTTTTTTTTTTTGAAGTACATACTCTGTTAAATAAATTTGTAACTAAAGAAGAACGTTTCATTGCGCATATATTTCGGTCCCTTAATTCCTTTTTTTATCGATTGACTATATTTAGATTACTACTCGTTTAATGAAGACACAAATTAATTATTATTTACGTAAAAATTTTTAAATATAAAATTTACACATAATTAATTAAATAATATTATGTATTAAAAACTATATAAATATTTTTTAAATTAAAAGCAAAGTGATTTTTGTTAGGCTTATGTTTATACTCACGTATCTATTTAGTTGCTCGCATGATCACTTATTTAATTCACAGCAATGGCCGTCTTTATGATAAACATTTGTAAGTTCAACGGTTGTGGATTAACATTTCCAGGCCTGGGAGACTTAATCCAACATATTGAAGATACTCACATAGGTAAATAATATTTTTTTTTATTTACAAGTATATATTTCTATGTCATTTTCTAATTTTAAGTTAAAAATTAATAAATATATCGGGCCCAGGGGTCTTGTGGTCCAAGTAATAAGAATCCGAATAGATTTTTGCGAGAGTTTTCGCAATACATGATAATTAACCGACTAGGTTTACTTTGGTATTTTACTGCCCTTTGAATGTCATTTCGATTCTCCTCATCCCGTACCTTAAACAAAAATAAATTAGCCTTGTTAATTTTGTTTGCATATTCATGCACTCAACCACCTAATAATAATGTTAACTTCTTCACCAATTCTAATCATTATTATTATACATCACAATCAATGAATATATATTAGTGAATTATAATATTTTGTTAATAATAATAATAATTGTGATAATTAATTTTTGTATACAACACAACACAAAACAGTAATAAATATAAATGTGTCATTAAAATTCTTTAAAAATATATGCATGAGTTGAAATTATTATTTTCCTATCAAATAAATAAAAAAGTTATGTATTTGCTATCGGTGCTCAAAATCGAACAATTAATAAGTTTTCCTATGATATTTTTATTAAATAACAACTTATTAAAGCGATATTTATTTAATAAAGTGTGATGATTATTATTATCATTATAAAAAAAAAAAGATTTTATTATTGTTTTTACAGTTAAACATTTTTAAAAAAGAAAATTTTTTGGGGTGAAAACAAAAAAAAAAAATTATAATTAATTCGTATAGCAGAAAACAATAAATATAGATAACAATTTTTTGCCATTTCAGAAAACAACCTTATTCTTAAAAGAACTGATTAATTTGCAGACTATGATCCAGTTGTGGTAGAGCAAAAAGAACAAGCCCAGCCATCATGTATTCCATTATCTTATGTATTAAGATTTTTTACTGATGCAGCTAGGCAAGAGAATTTAAGTGAGACACACAAAAAAATAATAACACAATCATCTCCTGTCGGAATGAAATGTTCAAACTCAAATTCTAGTATAGGATCTAGTCTTCAAAGTTCAACACCAACCGGTAGTGATATGGAAGATGAAGATGCAAGAAGTGATTCTGAAGATAGTAATGACTCTTGGACAACTCCAGAAGAATTTAGCGCTGAATTTATATTAAGCCTTGCTATTAAATCAAGAGTTCCAGTTGTAAATAATAAAAAAAATAGTGCAGTCGGTTGGTAAGTCAATATTTTTTAATAACCGATTCAAAATAATAATAATAATAACTTTTAATTTTAATTGTAATTGAAATTTTTTACAATTTTATTATTTAATTATCGTGTAAAAAAAAACACGCAAAAGTATTAATAGAAATTAAAATGAATTTCAAAACTTGTAAGTCATCCGTACTAATAAGAGTAAATTTCATTAAGTAATAAAACGACGTAAAGTGTCGGATTTTAATAATAATAATAATAATAATAATAATCAGTAGCGTATACGAAAAAAAAAAATTTTTCTTAATTTTAATTCTGTTGACCTTTTTTGTCATAAGTCAGTATTAAATCTTTTTCAACTAGGACACTGGGACATTTTTGTAAACATCATTAAATAATTAATTACGTAATCATCATCATCATCATTTTTTTAATCGCTCAATCTTATAATAAAAAAAAAAAAATTCTTTTTAAAAAAATATTTCATTCCCGATATACAATCAATTAATCAATAAAATTTATGACATTCCACGTATAAAAATGGTTTTTTTTTTTTTTAAATTATTTTTAACGTTATTTTTAATATTATTATTATTTTTTTGCTTTGTCATTTCAGGATAGCTACTAACACCAAAGATAACAACAATGTTGACAAGCCTTTTGCTTGCCCTGTGCCCGGATGTAAAAAAAGGTATAAAAACGTTAATGGAATTAAATACCACTCTAAAAATGGTCATAAAAAAGACGGAAAGTAAGTATTATTATTATTATTATTACATAAGTTATTAATTCGCATGTTATGGAGTATGTTTTGCGAATTGAAGGTTTTTTGAGTTATAATTTTTAATTTACGTTTCAGAGTGAGAAAGGGATTCAAGTGTCATTGTGGTAAAAGTTACAAAACGGCACAGGGATTGAAAACTCACACATCCGGGTATCACAACGGCGCAAATTTAACAACAATAACAACACCGACAGGAGAAATATTACAAATCCCAACGAGCCAAGTAACGACGCTTCAACCCCTGAGAACACTAACAGTGAAGCAAATATCCGCAAGTAGTTTATCTAGCCTAGGTCTTCCAGTTAAAAGCATTCAAAGTGTGGTTGTCACGACAAAATCGGCCAACGAACTGTTGAACAAAAATTACGACGTAGATAATAATAGTAAAACGACAACGTTGAGAGTTTTAAAAGACATTAGTCTCCCCATAGTTAAAAATAATACGTCACTTCATTTGTCGTCGACGGCATTACAATCATTAGTTACAAACACGAAGGTGAACGATAAAGACAATAATAATGGCGACGCGATACGAATGGAGGTAAATGAAAATTCGGGAATAAATTACAAAGAAATAGAAAATGTGTCAAATTACATGAATAATGGTAGCGGCGGCGGCGGTGGCGGCGACGACGACGACGTCATGTCGAGAGATCATCACGCGACAATATTAGATATTGGGGAAATAAAAGATCAGGTTTGCGGCGTCGTCGATTCCGATAATAATAATAAAATATTTAAAATAAAAATGCAACCGGAAAAGGAAAAATTAATTAAACTCATGTCGAACGACGACGGGGAAAAAATTCAGGTCGGTCACCTTCAAATAAAGTTACCAGAGCCCAAAGTCAAGTTGACTACGATCAAGCCAACTTCAATTAAATTATCTAGTCCACAAGTAATAACTAGTCTTAGAAACAGATTAGATAGTAATAAAAATAATCGCGTTTTAGCGCAGGAAAATTTAGGTATATTAACTCCCGCATCCTCTCCCCTCACATCCTCACCTGATGGTAAATCTGTAAATTTTCAGAACAAATCACCTTCTCCCGGTCTCCCATTGACACCCGTTAGCCCAATATTAACGAATAACAAATTAAACGCCGCATTAAATTCTAATACCGAGGGAAGAGAACGAGGAGAACAACAACAACAACAGCAGCAGCAACACGAAAAAATGGACGTCACGGAAAATTGTTTGGAACAAATGGATACACTTCCGGATACTTAGAATTTTTCATCTTGGAAAGAGTATAAAAATAATAATAATAACGTAGTAGTTAAAAAAAGGCTGATGATACCTTGGTAATTTTTTTTTTTTTTTTTTTAAATAGTGTTGTGAGAATGCTTTGTACCCCCTTATATACGTATGTTTATGTATATAATGCGTGTGAGTGT